GTTTATTTAATTTCTCTGTTAACCAGATGAAATACCAAGATGAGCCAGGGCCAAAGAGGGGAATTAGCCAAGTTCTTTGCATCCTAGTTTGACATAAATTTAATTGGCGGTAAACGGTTGCATTAGTTGAAATGGTCTCATCTGTATTTCCTGCCCTTACACATTCTCTTGTGCAACAGGTACGTGTGTCTTTGTGTTGGTCTTTTCAGTGAATCACATGAAGGAGCTCATGCAGAATGAGACAAATCTTTGCTTTTTCCTTGGTTATTTTCACACAGATCACACCTGTGTTAATACTGGTCCGCACAATCACTTTTGTACACTAGACAGAAAGGTAGCATGACCGTTTTTCTGGCACACTGCTGATGTATGTCAGTCTGCAGTGGTTTTTAACATAAAAATTAGATGACTAGCAAAATATATACTGTTAAAAGGTAATGCAAGCTGCCTGAGATATGTGCAAGAAGTAAAAATAGTTTTAAAGCTGTGTTCAGAATACTGCATTGAAATGAGTGTTTGGTTTCAACCTTAGACGAAGAACTAATGTTAGTAGATGTCTTTGGCAGCAATATTTTTTCACCAGTATGAAAGGAACCATTAGCATAATTGTTGTGGATTACTTCTTATTGATTGATTTTTCATTCAGGATTTCCACAGACAGTAAAAAGAATTCTGTTTTACAGGGAAGTCAAATAAACTGATCTCGTCATTTCTCATGACAAATCATTCATTTCTGTAGTAATGACTAGGTATTTTAAACATGGGTTAAAAGACAAAGTTAAAAAATACTAAAGAATATAAACAAGATTTGTAAATTAATATTTATATACAAGACTAATCATCTGCTTTTAGATTAATTCATTGCGGAACAAGGATGTCCTTCCTTTCTCCTTCCCATTCTTCACTTTTTGCCAACCTTCACTTCTGCAAAAGTGGTGATGAAGGCAAGAGCTTAAATTATAGATGTTTGCCTCATTTTAAGATCTTTTGCGTAGTTTGAAAGCTTAGATTATTTTTGATTAATAGACACATAATGCTGTTTACAGTGTAACTACATATATTCGTGTTACCAGCAGCTTTCAGACAAAGAAGGCACACAAAGTAAATTTCATAAGGTGAGAACAGAGATAAATAACATATTTTCCTCGTGCTTACATCATCACCTGAAAGAATGATTAGTTTGCATTTACGATTTCAAAGTGATAAAAGTAATAATTTACCAAATCTGCAGTATTAATTTGTTGGTCAGAAGAGTTTATTTTTTATACATTGGATGTGCATTGTTAACTGTTGCTGTAGTTAGTTTTAGATACAAAAATAAAACCCATTAATACTTGCTGTAGAAACATCTGTTACAAAGGGCTAGTTAATTGGTTAAAGGTTTGAGGTTTTTTGTTTTAACAGCTGTAATTTGTAGCAAATGAGTGTATTTGCCATGCACTTTGTCTCTAAGCATTTGTTTGCTTTACCAGCTTTTTCTGAAGAACTGGCTTTTTTGAATAGTACTGCCAAACTTTTAAGTGTCCCATTGAGTTAAATGTACAAGTCTATGTGTATAAATTTCTTTACAGCTTATATTTGCAAATTTGTATGAAAAAGTCTTAGCAAATTTGGGGTTAGATGGTGCATTCGTTGCATCCCTTTAGCGTCTAGAGTACAAAGCAAGCATCCGAGATCCAAAGATTTCTTCGTACAAGGGCATGTGTGCTTCATTGGACTCCAATGTCACATGCAATTTCTGCCTTTCACTGTAAACAGAGGCTTATGTTCACTAAGAAGCATAGCCATAATGTCTGTGGCTTCAGCATTTTCTTGGAAAAGTTGTGAAAAAAATAAGAACCAAGGAAGCTTAGAGCCCAGAGTTCCTACTTTATTGTTTCTGCAGACAGGCAAAATTTTGACCCAGTAATCTATGTAACTCCCTCCATCCAAGCTTAGAAAGGGAATTGAACCATTTGTCTATGGCTAATGGGACAACCGAGATGTTTCTGAGACCATCATCACCAAGACCTGTGTCTGATATTACTGATGTGGCTTTTCAGTTTCATATACAGTGAATATATTAGATTAATGTATTAGATGGAACAATTTGAATCTCTTCACATACATCAGTCAAATCACCTTGACAGTCATTGCTGACTGTCATAAAGCTAAAAATCATTAACGCTGTAAGGGATCTTGGGAAGTCTCTAGTCCAAGCCCTGCATACAAAACAGGATCAATTATAGGGAATGGGTTTTTATATTATATAATGTAGATGGGTTTTTATATTATCTCCAAGGATAGAAATGTCTTGATATCTTACCCAATGAGGTGTTTATACAAATTGGCAAGATACCTCTTGAGCATTCTCTTCTCCAGGCTGGACATTTCCAGCACTTTCAGCTTTTCCGCGTGTGTCAGATGCTCCAAACCTTTAATCGTGTGTGTGACCCTTTGCTGGAGTCTCTCCAGTATATCTTTCTCATACTGAGAAGCCCAGAACTGGCCAAAGCACACCAGCTATGGTCTCACTTGGGCAGAGAAGAGGGTAATGATAGAATATCCTGAGTTGGAAGGGATCCACAAGAATCATCAAGTCCAAATTCTGTTCCTGCACAGGACACCCCAAGGATCACAGCATGAGCCTGAGAGCATCGTCCAAACACCTGTTGAACTCTGTCAGGCTTGGTGTTATGACTGCTGCTCTGGGGAGCCTCTTCCAGTACCCAGCCATCCTCTGGGTGAAAACCTCTTTCTAATATCCAACCTAAACCTCCCCTGACACAACTCCAGGCCATTCCCTTGGGTCCTGTCACTGGTCACCACAGAGAAGAGATCAGTGTTTATCCCTCTTCTTCCCCTCATGGGGATGTTTAAGACTGCAGAGAGGTCTCCCGTCAGTCTCCTGCAGGCTGAACAAGCCAAGTGACCTCACTTGCTCCTCGTGTGGCTTCCCTGTAGACCCTTCCGTATCTTCGTTGCTCTCCTTTGGATGCTGTTCCTCAACATGCTGGCAGTGCATCCTGAGGGTGCCATTGGCCTTCTTTCCTGCAAGGACACAGTGATGGCTTGTGTTCAACTTGATGTCCACCAGGATCTTTTTCTGCACAGCAGCTTTCCAACCAGTCCACAGCAGGTACTCATGCTTGGGATTATTCCTCCCCAGCCCCTGGACTTCGCATTTTTGGTTTTTTTGAACTTCATAGAATCTCTGTAAGGCCATTGTCTAGCCTATCAGTGTCTCTCTCCGTGGTGACAGAGCCACCTGACATATTGTCAACCTCTCATCCAAGTTCTTTGTAGTGTGCAAACTTGCTGGGAATGTACTTTGTCCCATCATTCAGGTCATTAATGAAGTTGTTAAACAGTATTGGCCCCTTCAAAGACTGTCATCCAGCTGGAATTAATGCTGCTGTATATAATACTTTAGGCCCAGTAGTCAAGTCACTTTTCATTGCATCTCACAGTCTACTTACCTGGTCCTTATTCCAGCAGTTTGCCTATACGTATGTTATGTGGGAAGGTGTTGAAAGTTTTGCTAAAATCAAGATAAACATTATGTGCTTTTCTTTCATTCACTAAGCCGTCTCGTCATAGAAGGCTGTTAAGTCAGTCAAGCATGATTTCCCTCCATATATCCATGCTGATTTCACCTTCTTGTCCTTGAGGATTTGATCCATTACCTACTCAGGGACTGAGCTAAGGCCTGTGCTGTAGTTCCCTGGATGATCCTTCTTGAAGAAAGGAGCGACATTTACTTCCTTCCAGTCCTCAGAAACCTCTACCTGATGCCATGACCTTTCAAAGATAACATACCCTTAATAAACTTGAAAAATAGTGGTAGACCATTTCAATTTATATATCCTTGCCCTTTTAAAGGTGAATTTAGGTTGCTGTTTTACAACTGTGAATTGCTACTTTTCAGATGCTGTCAACAATGATAAAATGGTTATCAGTGTTAAAATAGCAATTTTGCTCCACTTTGTGGGTTTCTTTAAATAGTTCCCCTGACTTCCCTTTGTTGAATTTTGTTCTTCTGTTTATATTAGGGAATGTGTAACATATATGGCAGAAGTTGAAAATGCTATATAAAATAAAATGCACTTTCAGGTCAAGTTTTTTTTCAGTAATACAAATATTTTTGTCAATTTCATTTTCTGTAGTAAAATAATAAACGTTCTTTGTATCCTAATTTTTAACTTGTTTATTTACTTACAGACTCACTGATGTGCTGATCAATGAAGGCAGTGTAATGTCTTCTAGAATTTTCAGAATGGATGGAATTTCTCTTGCATCCGGTTTTGAGAACTCATTTATTTCTTTGCCTGCAGTTAGTATCCTAGATAGACAGAATTTCATATTTTGCCTTTATTTTTTTCTGGTAAAGGCAGTTGTTCAGTTCATTAACTCCTTAAATATTCTTTCCAGACTTTTTACGTATTATTTGCTGGAGGGCGTTTGGTTTATGAGTAATAAAATAATTGGTTCCTCTTCTTCTTACAACATCCTAAAATATATTTGTGGACTCTACTCTGTCAAATCTGAGCAGTTGAAACATGTTTAAATTTTTCCACTTGCCAGCTTCAGTTTTTGTTCCCATCCAGAAAGACAGCAGTGGTGCTGAGAAATTGGAACAATTTTGCTCTCTTAGACAAGTAGATGAAGAGCTATCAAAGTGCACAAGTGTTTCCATACTGTTAGTGGTAGTGAAGGCATGCTGGTGGCAGGTTGTGTGCCGTTGTGCCTGCTGGGGGATGGAGTAAATGTATCCAGTTTTCAGGTGTAACTAACCAGAGGCAGACATTTAAGGCTTCTGAGGTGGTGTTCAGAAGCAGTAACATGGTGACAATAATCCTGGTATTGTCTACGCTTTGACAGCAAAATAGTGCAAAACTGAGTTGTACGGCAGCATGGGACTGCTCTTAACTGTAGATTTAGTTTTCTACAGAGTGGTAAAGTATTTTGGCGGTATAATATAAGAAAAATATTAATTAGTTTTTCCTTTTTGTTTCTTTTAGGACTCCTCCAGGATGGTTTCAAGCAGGTATAAAAGGTATGAGATCATTGTACACAGTAAATTTCTTTACATGTATAGTTCTGCCAGAAATAAAGCTGATTAAATGGATATTTGTAGTAGAGATCATCGTACTGCTACTGTAGATACATAGCTTGATTTTGGGGTAAGGACCTGAAAGGTGCAGCAAACTTAACCAAACCCCTCTATTATGCTACTATTTTCAAATAAATTCAGCTAGTATTCTGCTGGGACCTACTAGTGCAGAATACTTTCCCAAGCAAATGTCTAACTTGGCACATTGCCTAGGGGCCAGTATTTTCACAGTTAGTTCATGAACCACTCTATTCTGAAGTTTAATAAAAGAAAATAATGTTGTTGTTCTCCACGGTTATACTGAAAGAAATTTCTATGGTTTTGTCATACTACTGTCCATACAACTGTCTCAGTTGTAGCAGATGCTGCCCACATGTAGCATGTCCTGTTTGTTATTTGTTTGTGTTTGAGTCAAGAAAGTAATGACTCTGGTCATTACTCCAGTTCTTTAGCCAGAAAAATATTTCAGAAGCCTTTGATGCACCTGACCAGTGTGTGAAGTATTTTCCCATGTGGAGTTAATACCAACACAGCTATCACAACTATTAGGAAAATGTTATGGTAACATGGGGTCTAAAACACGTCAACTGAAGCAAGACATTTTTGTAAACATATTTTTATTTGATACATGGATGCATTCTCTTTTAGATATCTATCTATCTATCTATCTATCTATCTTTTAGATGTGTATATATATATCTATCTATCTCATGGCTGTAGAAGAAAGTGCAAAGAGCACCTACCAATTATCTAGTCATCACTGGTGTATTTTCCACCCTCAAACTTGTTCACCTATAGAATCGTAGAAGGGGTTGGGTTGGAATGGACCTTGAAGAACATATAGTCCAGCCTCCCTGCCATGGGCAGGAATACTTTCCACTAAATTAGATTGCTCACAGCCCCATCCATCATGGCCTTGAACAATTAGAGGGAGGGAGCATCCACAGCTTCTCTGGGTAACCTGTTCTCTAGTCTTACTTCTCTCACTGTAAAAAATAATTACCAATCCTGTTATGCTTTAACTTTCCTAGCATGGTGCTACTGTTTTTTATATTTATATTACTGGGTTCTTATAAACTTAGTTGAGTGATGCTTTTTATTGTTGTAGGGTTTTTTTTTTAAATCACTTTGTCACTGCAGAATGGGTGGACTTATTGTCACAACCTTAATAACTGTATAATTTCATGATTCATTTCTTATTAATCAAGCACGTTTTAGTTCAGTCTTCACTTCCTTTTTGGTTCCCATGCAGACTTTTATTGCTTCTTGTATCTGCTGAATACTTAGTGATGTGTGTCATACTTTTGTGGCTTTTCATAAACCTTATCTCTGTTCACATGCTCTCTATACTGACTCACTTGCAAAAATTTGGTTGTGCGTGGGGGAGTAATAAATAGAAGTTTGCACAACCACATTCATAGCTTATTTGAAAATAAACTAATTCATCTGATTGGCATTGCAAAAATAGGAAGCACCAATGCTAGAAGATGCTAAATAAGACTTGGTTGTGTAGTATTCCCTCAGTCAGCTTTAGTTATATGTGGGATGTAAGGTCACTGTCAACTTTCCCCATCAGGACTGGCGTCACATTCAGGAGGAATCTGACTTGCTGCAAGCTGCTGTTCAATATTTTATGTATGTTGCCATCTATCTTACTCGTTGCACAGTCTCGAAACTTCATGTTGAAAGCAAAGGATTATTTTCTACTGTCAGCACAGTGCCTAGTGCTCACAAATACTCAGTGGGTTTTATTCTAATTGTACTTCCTGAGGCATACAATGCCCGCTGTGATTAGAGTCTATAGTATCTATTTAATTTTCCTCTATATTTGAAAATATTTACCTCCCCTGAAGTAATTTTCACTTAAGGGTACTTAAAGTGTGTTTCCCAGTGGCTTCACTTTCTGGTGTGAATGCTAAAGGAGTCAGGACCAGAGTCGTTCTGGGCTTGTTTGCCACTTCCAACATCTGCAGTAAGTGAAGGTCTTACAGAAAGCAACCTTCTCTCCAGTAATTCTTATCCAAATCACTCAGACCCCACTGAAGTCCCAAATACAGTTAGAAGTCCTTTGGAAACAGAAAATGCTGTTCTGTGATTACACCTACAACTGGACTATTGGTGTGTGAAGACTGAATGGAGATCAGAAGCTGCTTCAAGGCTCAAATGAGCTTAATGTACTTTTAACAGTTTTGGGTGTACTTCCTTAGGTTTTCAAAGCAAACTGTGAGAGCAAAGCACGTTCTCACATAGGGACAACCCTTTCAGATCCCATTTGAAACTGTTACTTGCATTACTCTGACAGCAGGTGGTCAGTACTTTGTGGGAGAGTTTGTTGGTAGACTTTATAGACATCTGATAGCAAGAATAGAAATATGTTTTCCTAAAATTTTGTGTTCTGTTGTAGACTCTCTTTCCCGTTGAAAGAATGAAATATTTGTCAGAAATTTTCAGGTTGTTTTTTTCCATCTTTACTACTCCTGCTTCTTCATTTTTTGCCTTCTCCCTCTTCCCCTATTGTTCCTCATCAAACATGACATTTCTTCATCTCAGCATTTTTCTTCACTTTACTGGTTTCTATTTTCTAGGCTAGTTACATACCCTTTCCCTTCTCTCCCCCTTTCTCTTACAACCTTATATTTAATCACTGAGGTCCTAGTCTTCTGTTTGTTATTTTTCTAATTACTTGGGGTTTTTTTTTCTGTTTCTTCTCTGTCCTCTTCTGACTTCCAGTCCTGGGTTACTGATACCATTCCTGGCTTCCAGTGCCTTTCTTTTGCCTTTCCATATAGCTGTTCTCATTTTTTACAGTTGGGCTTGATGATCCTAGAGGTTTTTTTTCAACCTCAACAGTTCTATGATTGTGTCTACATTGAGATACCCAACCTCCTGTACCTAACAACAGAAGAGAGACTTAAGAGCAGAGAAGTTTCTGTGATGTGTGTTCTCATAGAATCATTGTTTTCTCAATATGTCGTAGGACTCAAGGAATTGCACAGATTTTACACTACCTATTTAATCAGACACACTAGCTACTTTGCCTTATATGGATGCAACAATCCATGGTTGAACATTTATATGACATTGCTGGGAAACCCTTTTCACTGAGTGTCCATTGACTGGAAGAGGTGTTTACATATGAATTCTGCTGGCTGCTGTGTGTTATTCTTCTGTTCTGGCTGACGTGGACAAACTGAACTTGTCTCCTCATGCACTTTAAAAGTTTGTGATGAGGATCTTACTCTATAATTGTAGTCTGTCTTTTGAATTTACTTCAGAAATTTTCACACACCCTAAAAGTTTGTGGAGGGGTTCCTTTGTAGTTGCATGATTAACCATGTAAAATATTTTCAAAAGAAAGTGATGGTTTTGTTGTGATCTGGAGTGATACTGTGAGATCTATTAAAAGGATGACCAGAATCTGCAAGGTTATGCTGACACGAAGGCCACAGGATGTGCATGAGAGTATTTGGGACCTGTGATGAGCTGTGTGTCCTAACTGTGAGCTTCATGTGTTAAAATGTATAGTTATACTTCAGTTGTAATGGCCCATATCAACTTCCTTTTCTTTAATTTTTCTCTAAGCTTTTCTTAGTGAGATGTGCATCATTTTGGCCATTCCAAACTACTGTTCCTGAAACTGGGTCTACCAGTTTTTGCCTTGCTTTGTGAGTTATTTTAAAGCACCAAGCACATTGCCATTAGTAAGAATGGTTTTCTGATTTAGATCTGATGCTGTCAGTATAGTTGGTGTTATCACTGATTTCTCAAACAGGAGAATGACAAAATGTATTCTGTTTATTGAAATATTTGAGTGTAATCTACTTGTAAACATGAATTGTGTTTCTGTTGCATTCTGTGAACCAAAAAGCTTGTTTACAAGTAGCAGTAAATCAAGATATGTATGTGGACAGAGGAATATTTTTATAAGGACTGAGAATTTGTTTTAGCAGCTTACTTTTAAGATTGTCTACTAGCTTTTGAACCAGTTTAGTTTCTTTTTAAAAAATTGTAAAAAAACCCTTGCAGATCAGGATTTAAAATAACTTAGAAGATTTTTGCATGGTTCATGGATCAGACAGATCAGCTGGATCAGTTTACAGAAAGAGATTAAAATCTCTTAGTGGTTCAGGGATGTATTCCCTCTGTAAGTTTGTTTATTAGCAGAAATGAATACAATATAGTATGCTTTTATGGCTTCCAGTCAAAATGTCAGAGAGGATTTTTTCCCCTTCTTCTTAGACAGTACAGCATGTTAACCTGGATCCGTAGAACTAGAACCATTTAACACTAATTTCAGAAGATACATTGTATTCAAGTTTAGCATTCATGCAAGAGTTGAAAAATAAATGGGGAAGTAGAGACCATAAGAAGAGAAGAACTCAGTGCTTTAGAGCATTAATCGAAGCGGCTCTGAAGGAAATATTTGAGCACTGCTGAAATTATCTCGCTCAGTGTTTTTTAGGTAACTATAAGACTTAAACTATAACAATTTACATTCCATCACACTAACCTTGGTCTCACTAACTCAGAAAAAACACAGCTGCAAAATACTGTTTCATAAAGCTGTGCCCAGACTTGCCTGCTTCCTGTGTTTGGGAATTTTGCTGTGGAAGCATTGTCTCATCTAGCTTGTTACATTAGAATCACTACTGTGCAGATATGAACAGTGTATTTTAGACAGGGGTCACTCAAGATGCTTTTCTTGACTTTTCTAACCCCTCTTGAATCAATGCTAAAGACTTAGGTTTTATTTCTGCAGAAGATTTTCATGGTCTAAGTTGTACTAGCTGAACTTCTCACTGCCTGTTGTGCCAGTGCTCATGCAGCTGGACAAGGTACCAATGTGGCTGAAAGTTGATGGCTTCCTTTTACTTGTCTGTTGGATTGCTGCATCAGTTCCTTGAGTGGTTTCACACTCACCTGAAGGCCAGAGTAAGGGAAAAATGGAACAGACTAGGAACATGCAGCTTTAGAGAAGACAAGACTTCTTTTCCTTAGCTCAACTCTGAAAGCCACAAATTTGGCTTAAGCAGTAACAAAAGTCCAAGATGGCCTATTTAGAAAAAATTGTCCTTTGCTGTTTCTTCCGAAGAATCTGTTAGCAACTGACTTGATTGCAGAGAAATAAGTAATTAGGCGTTTTCAAATCAAGTATAGTTACAAGATTCTGGCAATAAAAATAAACCTGTAGTAATTGAACATGTTGTGGTTGAAATACAGTTTTGACAGGGTGATTTTAATTGGATGAAATGGTAAATTGGACAGTGCTTTAGGAAGACATTGAGAGAATCAAAGAGGCATTGGAAGGAGCAAGATTTATTTCATCGTTTTGTAATAATGCTTTAAAACCTGCCTCTGTGAATAACTGATTTTACTGTAAAGGAAATAACTAGAAACATTTTCTAAAACAGAATTTCTGTTTCTCTGTAAGAGTAGTCAAACTGCAATGAGAGTTGATTTTGCTATATGGTTTTTATTTTAAGTACAACCAGGAGAAACCCTTTAGAAATATATTTATATATCTGTATCTAATCTACAGGTATAATTCCATAGACTCATCTTTGGTGGTGGTGGTTAACAGGTATTTTCTCTTAGTAGAGAGACACCAAGTTCAGTGATACTGTTATTCTAGTCAGCAGTGCCCTGGCAGCCAGGAGGGCCAACCGTGTCCTGGGGGGCATCAGGCAAAGCATCACCAGCCAGTCAAGGAGGGGGATTGTCCTACTCTGCTCTGACCTAGTGTGGCCTCACCTTTGAATGTTGTGGCAGTTTGGGGTGCCAGAATATAAAACAGACATTAAACTATAAGACAGTGTCCAAAGGAGGGCAATGAGGATGGTGAAGGGCCTTGAGGGGAAACCGTATGAGGAGTGGCTGAGGTCACTTGGTCTGTTCAACCTGGAGAAGAGGAGACTGAGGGGAGATCTCATTGCGGTCTTCAACATCCCCACGAGGGGAAGAGCAGGGACAGGCACTGATCTCTTCTCTATGGTGACCAGTGACAGGACCCAAGGGAATGGCCTGAAGCTGAGTCAGGGGAGGTTTAGATTGGATATTAGAAAGAGGTTTTTCACCCCAAGGGTGTTTGGGCACTGGAACAGGTTCCCCAGGGCAGTGGTCACAGCACCAAGCGTGACAGAGTTCAAGAAGCATTTTGACAACACTCTAAGGCACATGGTGTGATCCTTGGGGTGTCCTATCCAGGGCCAGAAGTTGGAGTCAGTGGTCCTGATGGGTCTCTTCCAACGCAGCATATTCTATGATTTTATGACTGTTTCACATTTAATGCTCATAAAGTGACATATCTGAAGACTAAAATTCCATTCTTTTTGAAAGATATGCCTGTTGTGTCCTGGATGGTACATTTTTTCCATTACTGTGTACTAGACATTGGTTATAACAGCACAAATAATGAAATTTTTATCTGTCACATTCCATATATTAGATTATGGGCTGATGCCTCCTTAAATGTTTTTTTAAATCCCATTTCCTAGAATTCTTCCTGATATGTCATTTGTACATGTTAATAGTGAAAAAGAATGTGTTCAGTAGGGTCTGCTGCCCAGTGGAATAGGCGAGGAAATTTCTGGGTGTGAATTTCAGGGAAAATACTGAAAAATTAAGGCATTTTCTGTATTAATGAAACCCTTCCTGTCTAGTTATTCTTTCTTCTCATCTTCATGTAGGAGCTTCTGCCAATATCACTTGCTAGAGCTGAGTTGAGGTACTCCAATATGTTGACAATAGGGTCAATTTTTGAGTGATGAAAAATTGAGCCTTTTTTTTGTGTGGTCTATCCTTTAGACATTAGCAGAATACAACTACACATCTTCTAGAAAGCTAAATAATCTAGAATTTATAGAGTTAAGCTAAAATATTTCTCTTATGTTGTGTTGTAACATGCATATCCGGTCCTAGAAACGTTTTTTGAAAAATCTCCTGAATGAAGAATAAACAGTGCTAAATATGGTAATAACATTAAGCTACAAAATTCCTTACAATTGTGTCAGTGTGCCTTGGAAACTTCACACGTACTAGAGCAAAAGAATATTTATATCCATGAAAAGACATACCTTTGCCAGATACTCTTGCTTTTGATTTGCACTATATCCATCTAAATCTGCATGTGGTCAGCAGGGGTTTTCTAAAGTTATGAAATGCAAAACTGTTAAATGAACGCATTAATCATATACTCTTCTCTGTTTTAAAGGAAATGTTATAGGGATGCTTGTAGTTCTTTTCATTCTTTTCCTAAGTGCTCTTGAAAACCATTGTATACATACTTCAGCTGTGTGATTTTGCAGAATCACAGGCTGAGTGAAGTTGGAAGGGACCTCTGAGGGGAATCTTGTCCATGTCCAGTCTCTGCTCAAGCAGGGACACCTAGAGCTGGTTTTTGAGGACAATCTCTATGTGACTTTTGAGTTCCCTGGTGAAGATAGAAGAGGGGATTGTTTGGTTTTGGTTTTGGTTTTTTTTTTTTTTTTTGGTCTTTGGCAGTTTGGCTGTTTATTTTCAAAGTCTAAGAAGTATAGTTTTAGTGAATTGGAGAGGGAAAGATCAGTATCTCTACCTGTTCCCAGGGCACTCTGTTCTGTTATTCTTCATTTTTCATTAGGTTCTGCGTTGAAGGTAAGTAATATTACTATTAGGAAGAAAATAGCTATGGGAAGAGCACTGTTAGTTTTGTGAGTGAAAATGGTTGACTTCTTATACATATTTTTAAATTAGCACTGGTTTTGTATGTAGCAACCATAGTGGAGTACAGGCCAAATCCATAGTTCCTGAAAAGTCAGTTGATATTCTTCTTGCGTTTTGGACATGTACTTGTTTTTCATCCTTTATGGATGCTTGGTTTAAAACTTTACTCCTTGAAATAAAATTATTTAGCTTGGTTTTTAATGTGCTCAGTTCATGAAATTTTAAAAGTAAGATAGGATAAGCATAAGTATTTGTTTAAAGTCGATTACCCATGTGGATGAGAGTTGCATTATCCAGGTATTTGAATCTTTGAGGCAGCAAATTTAGTGAGTTCTCAGCCACACGTTTTCTGCAGTTTATTAGACTGACCTGTTGAGCGCTTTGGAAAGCGGTTTTGTTACTGCTATCATTTCCATTTAGTTAATTGTATAAATAAGTGTCTGCTCTTTGACTTTCATAGCACAGCTAATGCACCAGAAGATGACGCTCCAAATAGATATTCCCGAACAGAGAGGACAAGTTACAGCAGATACAGCAGGGATGCAAATTCTTCTGGCAGTTCTCTACCGAGTAACACTTTGGAAAAGAGGATTGAGGAACTTGAAAGGGTAAGTCCAACTAACCTCTCCATGGCATATGTCTGAAATAAAGTACTTTCAAAAGTCTGTGGGGAAATTTACAAGTAAAATACATAGATAAATGCTATGAATGCTTGAAGTAGCATTGATAAATGCTAAATGCTTGAAGTACAGATAGTTATGTCTATAAAAATGTATAAAGAGTCAGACTGACTGAGAAGAATGTGAACTTTCAAATCATGGATGTTTAGTTTTCATTTGGTATGTGAGTGAGAAGTAGTTGAGGTAAAGATAACAGAGCCAGCAGTGCTCTGCGTATTTCTCTTTCGTACCTCATGACACACCGACAAAGAACAAATATCTTGGGGGAGGGAAGAAGGGGCTCACTGGCTGTTCAGAAAATTAGCAAACCTGTTTCTGATCTACTTATGGTTTTGGATTTTTTTAATGTATCAAAATATTATAAAATTTATTGCTATCCAGTTGTTAAAGTTTTAAACATTTAAAATACATATTTAAAGCAGTTTCCATTATTTCAGATTAACTTCATACAAACAGTTTTGGGAAAATGTAATAATGTTAAAGCTGAGTTTTTCATGTAAGCCAGTATTTTGCTAAACAATGTCATCTGTGTAATTTATTACTAATTATTTTCTGTCTTCCTCTGAAGTAGTTTTTTTGTGGGTATCTTGCCAAATATTCTTGAATTGTATGGATCAAAGTTACTAAGTAAGCACAATTTGAATAGGTGTTGGAACGGGTGAAAATAAACTGTATTTTGTAGAAATTACTGGTTTTTTAAGACTTGAGGAACCTGGATTTGAGTGAAGTACACCATAACCCTCCCTTCTAAATCAGCTTCTTTCTGAAATACTTAAATTGCCATTAACATGAAAAATAGAGGAAGATTTGAGGGCTGTCTTTCAGTATCCTGAATCCTGACTTACTGAATTCCTAATGAACGTTTTCATTTTTTCTCACATTCAGGCCCATAGATCTAACATTTAGTCTTCCTTCCTTGCTAATGGTAGTTAAAAAAAAACAAACAAAAAACCAAAAAACAACCATAAGTAAGACTAAGCCTCCCAGTATAAGAAATTTGGAAGCTCATACTTCACATTTACTTCTTCTATTCTGGGCCCCTATCCAATTTTGGGTTCATGCTTAAGTTAAATATTAATTAAAACATTATCATTTGAATCAGATATCACACAGATTTGCTGTGGGTAAAATATTATCTTGAACGTTTCTTTAGCTACTTAAAATGTAAAAGGACTTGAAGATGTGGGTTTGACTTGCTGTAGGAAAGGAATTATAACTAAGTGTGTGTGGGTTCTTCTTTCTTTGTTTTAAATGGTATTAAACTTTAAACTGTCTCTTAAAAATAACATTTCCAACTTCATTGAATATTCTGGTTTTAGGAACTTGCAAAGGAAAGACAGGAAAATGCAAGATTAATGAAGATGACGCAGGACAAAGAGGAACTAATTGGAAAGCTGAAGGAAGAAATTGATTTATTAAACAGAGTAAGCAAATACTTTCTTATGAGGTTCTTTAGAAAGAGGGGATAAAAGTCTCTGCATTCTCTGTTCTGTTCTTCAGGCACCTGCATCCACTGAGTGGAGTGTGAGGGGTCTTTTGTATTGCATAGATCTCAAGAGGCATGTCATAAGTTATATTTTTTTCCAGGTAACTTGTGTTTGTCATGATTAACTTCTCTGAGTTCTGCGTTATTGGAGTGCCTGATTTTGTTGTTGCTCTACGTGTTCATAGAGCAAGGTTATAAAAGCAAAAGCACTTGACTGTCTCGTCTTTTCAGATTCAGTATGTAGAACACCAAGAAACAATTAAGTTGGGGTTTTGACAATTTTCTCAATAACTTGTTATGCAGGACTTTTTCAAAGTAATTAGAAATTTAATTTCATTTTAGTCAGCTTTTAATTACTAATAGTAATTTAGATTCTCTTAAAAAAGACTTGGGAGCAAGTTTTTTATATTCTGACACATATTCTCATACTCTTTATAGTTGATCCCATGTAAAAGCAGAACAAGTCAGAAGGCAGGACACCTGAGGTAGCATCACTCAGGCAAGGTATGAAGGCAGGAAAAGAAGGGGTTAGAAGAGTGAGCCGTGCTTGGAAATGGAACAGGATGAGAAATTTAAAAGTTAATAGAAAAAAGTTACCCCAATTTTAAGGGCAAACAGAATTTCTTTTGTGGAGTGGATTAGTGACCTCATCTTGCATTTCCTGGCTGAGGTGTGGAGCCTGGATGTACGAGGGATATATGCGTCTTCTAGTCCAGTGCAGATATGGCTTTGGTCAATGCAGCAGTGAAGGGAGGCAATAACTCTGCATGGACAATGTCAGAATTGCATTTTGCATCTCTTCATCTATGGCAAAGAAGGACAGCATTCACAAGTTTGCAAACTAATCTAAGAATGAAAGGAGATTATTCTGAAACATATATTTTGATTTTTTTATGAAGAAAGTTGCAGGTTAGTCTGTAGGATAAATGAGCTATTGCCTGTTTTGAAGAGACTTCTATTTTAAGTGAGGCATTGGTCTTCATGCTGTTTTTTCATTCTGCAAAGAATCTGTCACATCTAAGATTATGACATTATTACAGTCAAGGCAGGTGTTCATTCCTTCTACATAATGGATGGCAAAACTATTTAATATGGTTAGTCATGTCCTACTTCCTGCCTCAAAGGTCAGAAAGAATAAATCAAAATAACCTAAATCACTGAAATCTTGTGGTTTAGGACTATGACAGAGGTTTGCTGTTCCAGAAACAATGTTATTTTTTTCTGCTATATTTGAAGTATGTCCTAAATTAAATCCATGAAGTGTCTAGCTAGAAACCATCTTTGAACATTTGTAGTAAAGTCAGGCAGTGTCTGTGCCTTGCCTGTGTTAAGGACAGTGATAATTTCTGCTTGTTACATAAAAGTAAACATTAAACAGAATATAGTCCTTTCAAAAACCACTGTATTATACCATGACTAAAACTGTACCTTTCCATGAGATCTACAAAGCCATCTCATTGATGCTTTCTTGGTAGATACTTTTAAACGCAGAAGAGGATGGAATTTTTTTTTCTCCCCGAGATCAGCATTCTTCATAGCTTTAACACTGTCTGTTTGCTTCATTGAGTGCAAGTTATTTATGTCCATGTCTCTTGGGCTTTTCTTAATGATCAAAAAGCTACCTTTTGACTTTGTGACCAGCATAATTTGTCTTTTCTAAAAAGTTTGAACCCGTGTCTCAAGTGATGCTTCCATGAAAACAGATTCAGCTTTACTTTCTTGTTTATTAACTCTTGGATTTATGTTTTCTTCTATATTGGCTGTCCATGTGGATTTAGAAAGAGAAAAGCTGTAGAAATACTACATCATTCTGATGATAGAAAGTTATGGAAGTTAATAGGACAGTTATATTTGCTTCAGGTTTATTACCATAACTGAGAACACAAGAGCCAGTACTTGGACATCCATATGTTCTTTGTGGAGTGTAGGTCTGTAGACCTAGCACTAGGTTTGGATGCTTTGCATGGAAGAACAGTTGTGATCTTCAGCCTTCTGTTCAGATAGAAGGATGTTCTGAGGACTAAACTTACCTTAGGGAGCTTATGCAGAGATCTTTTTAAAACATTTTGCTCGTAGGCAACCTAAATAGAGGTGTCTAAATTTGAACATCTACATGTTCATGGTATTTCTCCAGCTTTTCTGCTCATCAAAATATATGGTTATTGCATGTTGAGATGCATGGGTATGGAAAGAATTTCATGTCAAAGACTCTAAATAACTTCTTAAAAAGCCATTTTACTGCATAGCTTTCTGACTGCTCAGTCCATATTAAAGAAATGCTCTTTCTACAAGTTTCAGTCAGTTGATGACCATGGATGAATCCTTGATTGTCTAAGACCTTGTGTTGCAACTGAAAAACTGTTTTTCCAAGAATCCTGAGCTGCATTTATATTGAGGAACAGAAAAGGCCATAAATGGCATTCCCTCATTCCATTCCATTAGACATTAGACATTAAAAGTATGTCTGCCATGTTCTTTGTAAGAAAGGGGTAATTGCTTCATTAAAACTTTAAATGTCTGAAGGGAAAGGCATCTCAAACTATTTAAATATTTGTAGGCAAAGTTCAACTGTTGACTAGTTTACACTTAGTCATCTCTGACCTCAGTAAGATGTCATTGTAGTTAAAAGTGCGTTTGGAGAGGGCCTGTCAATGAGGATTTACAGTGCAGTTAGTGTCAGTTGTATAGTTATTGGTTCTTTTGGTATGTGAAGTCCAAACTTTCCTGCTATTGCATCTTTTTTTGCTAATAAGCATAAATTAGTGGTGTGATTTTGAATAAGAAACTTTAAACTTCAAAGTGGCAAAATCCCCTACATCTCTCAGCCCATTGTTTCTGTAGATATTTAAACTGCAACAGTTATTTTTCCTGGCTCATATTCAAGAGTCTCTTACTTGTAGTAATCTTTGGAATGTTATTTTTGCAGCATAAGCATTTCACAAACTTGTAATATTTTTTTTTTTGAGTTAGTTGCGGTATTTTAAACAGAGGGTCTTTAGGTAAGCTTTAATTGAGGTATCCAATGGCTGGGTTAACAAGTTCAAATAAAGTATTCTGTATATTAAACTAAAAAACCAAACCGAAACAAAACACACATTTTATTGAAAATATAAAGTGTGTTTCTTTATATTAAACTGTATTTATAGCATCAAAACTTTGCATATTTTGTTGTTTAAGCCACTTGTATCTGTTATGTTGGAGTGGTCAAATGCTTTTCCTGGAAGTCATTCCTACTGTGACGCAGCATTACTTCTGTGAAGCAAAGAGGAATTTCTGCTAGTGATTTCTTGATTCTGCATTAGAAAAACAGTAAAGTCATTGCAGAGGTATTGTGGTATGGATTTTGGCTTCACAAACTGAAGAGGCTTTTAAAAATGATTATACCAATTAAACACATCATCTCTAGCGTACACTTCTGGAGTGACCTCACTAAAAAGAAATAAGAAACTGGGCTTCATATGTCAAATGCTACTTAACAACTTAAAGACATGAGAAAGAAAATCTTTTACTACTTAAAGGAACAGGAGAGTTTTGCAGACTTGAATCAAGAGACATTAAGATTTCCAATGAGAATTCTGGTTCTTTTTCCTTTGCCTATCATTAATTTTTCTCCTTAGAGTGCTGTTCTTGATACCACTTTTCTGTTTTTCTTTCTTTGTTTTGTTCATGTTGTGTTTCTTCCATGTGTTTTTTTTATAGAGTAAAACTACTTTTGCTCAAGTAATACTTGCATTAAGCAGCCATTTTCACTGGTTTTCAGTTTAAAGGCTTGAAAAGACTTGGTAGGAAGTGAAGAAGTAAAATGGGAACTGGATAAAAATGGTAATTTGTGGAAAAGAGGCAAACATTTGGGGTGAAAGTAATCTGTTTAGAGCGCTCATTATTATTGTGTGTGCTGTTGGGTCTTTCAGCAGTTTAGACAGAAGTTACAGAATCCATTTTAATTTTTTTCACAGAAAACAAAAAATGGACAGGCAGATCTGTTTCTGAAAATATTGTTAGTTAATTTAAAACACAAAGCAGATCTTGCAGTAATAACCAGTGATGTGTATATGTGAGTGGGATAATTGCAGACAAGCACAGTCTGGGAGAGCAGAGGCAATATCTGAGTAATGCTCTCTCTGTATATGCCAGAAAAATAATCACACCCATCCTATTTTGGTTTCTTTATTCATTATTTCCTGCTGTAACTTTAGTCTGAATGTATTTCTATTTAAAGGTGCTTGTATGTGGGAATATAATATTAATATTTGTAATTACAGTAACACTTGGAAACTGGCCGGTTTTAACAGTTGTAAGGGTACCTACTGTGACACTAATTCTTCCCTACCCCATCTTCTTCATGTCAGAGCTAGGATGCTAAATTCCTACTGCTACTAATTGAGAGTTTGTTTATGTTCTGGGAAATGTTTATTCTTCTTTTTTTTTGCACAGGACCTAGATGATATAGAAGATGAAAATGAACAGTTGAAACAAGAAAATAAAACCCTCTTAAAAGTTGTTGGACAGCTGACAAGGTAGAAGATTCAGACCTCAATGAGGAAAGATTTAAAAACTACTGAGTGAACATTAAGGTCAATGTAGTAATACTTCCTGTGTGTTGCAGTATGTTATAACTGTTTGTATATTTATTGTTAGGAAACCAGATGAATGTTTATTTTCATAGTACTTGTTCAATGAAATGACATAAAATTTGGGGTATATTTTTAGCTTTCTTTTCACATAAGCATAATTAAACTTTTTGATGTATTTCAAAATATTAAGTTCAAAAATATTTGGGTTTTGTATCTTCAGATTACATCTGCATAAATTGCAATAATTTAAGATTCATAGCACCAAGATCACTTTCAATCCATGTGGGTGTATATTTTTTAAATGAATGGAAGCAATACATATAAACTTTGTTTACAGAGATCCAAAATATATATTTTGGGAAAAGCTTCCTTTTTTGTTTAAACAACTGTAAAGTGGATGCCTTATTACTGATGTATAACATTTTGCAGTTTGATGACTTGCTCTAGAACTCTTGTATGTTCAAGTTTTTTTTACTGTATCTGAAAGATTGACAGTAGTAGAGAGTAGCAATTTTTTTTCTGTGTTTAACAGTATTCTGTCAGGAGGGGAAGGTTTTATTGAAAAAAAAAAAAGCAAACACAGAACACCAAAAAGCCAAATAAATCACCTCTGGTATCAGCATTAATAAGTTCTTAGAATCATATTGAAGTTGTGCACTGCAGTTTATTTTATAGCTTTTGCTTTAGCAATGAAATGCAAGTTTGCAGTCAGACAGTTTGTTTGCTGTGTTGAGAATTTAGACAAAGCCTGGAGCTTTCATTTTAGCAGGCACTTTTGCAATACTCTCCTGCTTAAAGCTGACATCTTAAAATTTGTAGTGATCATAACCAATATGAGTTTTTTGATTTTTTTTTTTAAGCTGAGTGAAAATTTTTGTACATAACAAAAGTAGAGGGGCATACTAGTGATTCATGCCTTTCTGAAACATCAAATGGTATAAAGACCCCCTTTTTATCCTTGATTTTAAATGAACAAGGTGTTTAAAAAGTACCTGGTTAGATGTTACAATCCGGTTATGACTGTACTTATTCTTCTATAACATGATAACAGACAAAATTTTCATTAGACTTTAACCACAGACCTCAATTAACAACTCTCTTCTTAAAATTTTTGTTAGACTGAAATTTTTTTTGTACTTTGTCATCTTAATACAGCGTATTTTTCATTCTGGATCAGATTAAATGTACATGTCCTTCGAGTCAGGACACTAGAAATAAAAATATTTCAGAGTCCAGTCTTTTTCTTACAGTACTGAAGTTTGGTGTCAGAAAGTTGCATGAATATAGTTTTTGTCACCTTAAAACTTAAAGGCAATGTTAAAATATAACAATATAGCAATATTGTTATATTTTTATATATATAATATATATAACAATCACCTTTTCAGATTTGCCAGTTGTTTTCATATTGTGTATTTAATGACTGTTTCTTAAATTTAAAATCCAGCTATTACACCTTGGATTGTTTTGGATATAGGATAGGTTATTTTGCATTTGTGCATTCTGATGAGAAAGAACTTTTCAAAGCTTTAAAATATTTTTCAAGACACGTATAGTCCAGGATGCCTCGATGTTTTCCTTCACAATAGATGAGATCCCATGGGACATCATTTGAAACCTTTACTCAGGCAGTTAAATGGTGTGAGGGTTTGTATAGGCCCTAGAATATACACTAATGAGTATTGTTTGTAATATTACTGAAACAGTAAGAAGTCCCTCAATTTAAGTTTCATGACATTGAAAATTTCAAGTAATAAAAAAGTCAGTTGAGATGTATGCCTTTTGAATAAATATGAAACTTTCTCTGGAAGAACATCTGATTTCCTTCTCTGTTTACTAGGTAGGAAATACACACACTGATGTACAGCATAGGGTGTCAAACATATTGAAGCAACATTTAGGTTTTACTGCAGAACACACAGATAGCAATATGAAGTTGTAAATGAGATATTTCCTGAACTGTGTTTCATATACATTTTAAAGCAAAGAAAAATAACAACAAAACATAAACAAGAGTTACTTGTCTTCATATTATCTTGGTTTGCATGTGTGTTGACTAAAAATTAGCAACAGTAATGCCAAAATTAGAATTATTTATTTTACGTTGCACATACAACTGACAGAAGTATTTGGCAGAAATGCTTCTGATACCCTGCCTTGAAGAGACACTAGCAAGAGAAGTCTGCAAATATTTGAAACCAGTATAATTCTCTGGCAGGACATGTGAACAAAACCATTGTGAACTCACACATCAAGTGCCTCGGGACCTTATTATTGCTGTGTGTTATTATACAAGTCTAAAACTCTTCATTGTTTTAAAAGTTCCCACAAATTGCATTGTGAAGCATAACACTTCTGCTGACAGTTTGGAAGATTTAGAGGGCTTTTTTTGGAAGAAAGTGTGTCAATAACAATTCATTATCACTCTTGTGAGAAATTTAGTAGATTCTAGGAAAAACTATGTATTATATAGAATGTTAGTGATTGTCTAGTTGCTACTTGCCATTGTCCTTTTATTTCAGTAGGGTACCTTTAGAGTCAAGCTCAAACATAGGATATGTTTTTATCCCAGGTGATTTAAAGGTGTTAAGTTAGTACCTTACTAGCAATTCACTAACCCATGGCCAGTCCAACATCTCCATTGTTCTCAATTCTGTGATTTAAAAGCAGAGAGACTGATGGAAGTGGGAACCCGTGTCTCTTGGGAAGGTTATATGATTCCTGAATGACTCTGGTATTAACATACCTAGGCCAAGTTAATTTACTAGGGGTCTTCTTTTGGTGGGTGAGGGGAGGAGGATGTTACTATGCAATGTTAAGTGAATGGGTAAGTCCTCTGGAGATTTCTGAACTTTCATGCCTTAAAATTCATGCCAAACTGCTTAGGTCAACCATGTGTGTTTCTGGGTAACCAGAGTCATCTAGGAAATCTAAACAGGAAAGTACTCTCATTGACTAAAGCAAATAAGAGAAAATTATTTTCATGATACTTTACTATGAACATCACATAATTCCTATTTTGATAATGCACAATGGTGGTTCTGTTATGGTCATATACTGTAGTACAGAAAAACAGAACTACATGCAGCACTGAAGGTTAAAATTGTCCAGAAATATTTTTATCATTGATAATGTGCACTAATGGTTGAGGGATTTATTCCCTAAAACAGCATTTCAACCATATTTAGAAACTGGTGAATTTTATAATGAAATTAAAATGTCTCTCTCTTCATTTTTCAAATAATATCAAGTGTTTCTTGATATGTATATTAACTGAAAGTTAATATACAGTCTATATTTACAATTGAGTGTTTTTTCTGTCTTTAAAGCAAAACTTTGCATGGTTAATTGCCAGATTTGCATTGACACAATTGGAGATTAATTCTGTTGTATATTGGCTCTGACTTTAAACAGTAGAATGAGAAAAGAGGATAACAAGAAATAAATCAGTGACTTCCAAAGTGGGAAGTACAACCTAATTAAGGAATTTTTTTTTTATTATCCAGCTGTACTGAGAATTAGCTGTGGAAAAATTTGTGACTGGCATAAGCACTACAAAAGATATAGCAGGTTTTGTATGTCAAAAACAACTGATAAACCTACATCAAAACTCTTCAACTTGTATCATATCATTACACCTTGGAAACCTGCAGCCTTAAAGGACACCAAAAGTAGTATTGGAGATCAAATTACTTATTAACATTTTACTAGGAGAGCAGAGTTACATGCCTCCAGACATTTTATGGTTTTCTGTATGTTCTGTATGGCTATTTTCAGCTTGAATTGCAACAAATCAATATTAGTAGCCAAAATAAAGGTAATTAATTACTGGAAAACAAATACCCAATTAATAAATAAGGATACCATTACTGAGTGTTAGTATTTCTCGGACTGCAGACCTCTTATGAAGATGTCGGTTGAGTCTCTTCATGTGCGTCAGTATTAACAATCATAAACATCTGATGTTTTTAATAAGAAACAACTGTTTTAGTTGGAGAAATTGCCACTGCAATCCATGACTTCGTTTTTAAGTACTTGTAGCTGCTGAGACTAGGGAGGTGAGGATTATACTTAAAAATTTTGTTTAAAGGGAAACAAATTAGTTCTGGATCCTGTAATTTAACTTGACCTAGAAGTTCACTACGGATCTGTTCCATGACAGTCTGTCTGGCGTAAGTACCTGTAAGAGGTATTGACACCAGCAATTTTAGAAGCATTTCTACTTCTGTTATTAAGCATTTCTTTAGGACTACTTAAATATATCCAGGAAAAAATGAGCATTGGTGTGTATATAACTGATGATCTTCCAAGTATGTTGACTTATTGCAGCAAATCTCTGTCAACTGTTTCTCCTTGAACTGTAGCAGATGTTTATTACCTTGTTAATTTAATCTTTTTGCTTTTATTTCTGTATTTCTAATGTAACTGTTCTTGTTCAGGGCTAGTTGTGATTTTTTCTATTCTGGAAGACTTGTGATAGTTGAGTTTTCCTCTGATAATAGTCTCGCAGTGCGGAGTAATTTAAAAAAAAATCTTCGTTTTGTGCATTTAGAAAGTTTAAGCATAATTAAACTATAAATAACTGAATATCCATTTAAGTTTTGAGCATTGACTAGCTGTGGTGATACTTGTGGTATCAAATTAAAAATGATGTTGAGATTCTTAGTACTGCAGGTAAAAGATACATGTTTAATAATAAAGCGTGTGTGCCTTTTTCCAAATAAAACAAAATCCTTTTTAATCCAGTCTGACTACTTATTGTCTTTCAAGGAGAATTAATACTGTCTGTCTAAAATTCTGACTGGATTTGTCACCCATACTGGGAAGCTCCCAACCTGAACTGCTAGAATTAGTTTACGTTCACATTTGAGTTTTCAAGTGCGAATGTGTTTGCAGACACATGAGAGTAATCTGTATATTTGCACTGTACTAATTGTCTGCTTCAGGAATGTAGTGAGTATCCTTCCATCTGTTAGATGGAAATGATCCTTTCCCCTACTTCGTAGTAGAAGTATAACCCTTCCCAGGAAAAGGAAGGATGCTACAGTGCAATTTCTGCACAAATGAAGTGAATTGATTTAACTTGATTTAAC